GTGCGAAGGACTGCTGTGTTAGTCAGTTTGTCCTGGCTCTTACCTCTGTGCATTGAGGCTTTGGTTATAAGTTTAACATCTACGCTGAAATTATGTGGCTCCCACATACAGAAACTGTATTGTGAGAACTGGTCAATTGTTAAACTTGCTTGTGGTTCGACAAAAGTAAACGACATTGTTGGACTGATTATTATCTCTTTTTATTTTTTTCATGCTCTCTTCATTGGATGTTCATATGTGTGGCTCGTAAAGTCAGCTTTAAAGTCTAAAGAAGTCAGGAAAAAGTTTACACAGACATGTGTACCACATTTATTATGTCTGCTTAATGTCACAGCTGCTTTGCTTTTTGACACCATGCTACTCAAGGTATGGATCAGCCGTCTATGCCACAGACTTTAAAGAACTTCATGGCCATACAGTTTCTCGTTAATTGACCCCCGCCCGTTCTCAACCCTATAACTTTGATGACTTGATTCTGACAAAGAATTAGAACACAGACATGGATAAATTTTGGCAGGTCAAAGATTTAAATTGACACTCAAAGTCTGATACATGTAACGACTCAACTACCACTACATTTGAACAAACATAGGGTTGTTACGATGCAAAGTTTCTCCAGTTTTTATCTGTTTAATGGGGTTAAACTGAGAAAAAGGGTTTTAGGTTTGAGAATGGCCACAAAGGTGTTTTCAGATCAGCTCATAAACATCATATCAGGGAGCTGGGTTGTCAGAGATTTGACTTTGAGGAATTTCAATATAAGAAACATTAGAAATAAGGTGAACAATTAAAGTATTTTAAGGTGACAGTAAGGTCAGTAAACCCTGCCAGCTTTATTATAGTAGTCCCTACAGGGATCATGTGAGAATATTAGGGATGACTTGAAATGATAAACTAAGTCTTTTTTTGTGTGTTATTACGATTCAATTGTTTTAGAAACACACGCACTGCTTATATATTTGTCCTGATTTATATAACATCCTTTCACTTTCCCAACAAAGAAATATTAGCAAGAACAACTGTCATGTTTAATCCTGGCTGTTATTTTTTGTGCACACTGAAATGTAATAAGTCACCTAAAAAATGAAATACTGTTTTTTTTTAAGACACTAGAGTGTTTCTCTTGTTTGTTTGTGTGGATGCTGATTCATCATTACATTGTACAGATATAGTTATATTAGGTTGGTAATATCTTTAGATAATATGGTTGGTACAGGTTCTACCCACAGAGCTTCATAGTTTTTAAGCATGGCATGTTTCTATGAGTCCATCTTTCTGCTGCTCCTTCCACCAACACATACCACAATATGGAAACACTAGAGATGATTTCTCAGCCTGCATAATATATACAAACTCTGATCAGTATTAGACACCTAAATACTGTAATGTACATGTTGAATTTAATTGAAGTTTCTCACTGAGAGTGACCTGTCAATCATCAGGTAGCCACGCCCAAAAGCATATCCTTCTTTATAGTCTAATTTACTCTAAATTGGAACATAATTTCTGGAAGTCAGCTCATTTTTCCTGCATGCTCTCAGTTTTTACTGCAGCCAAAAGAGCTGCCCCCTGTTGGCCTTTACATAGAACACAGGTGTAGACACTGCTGTACTTTTTTTAAGATATATTTTTGGCATGTTATGCTTTATTCGACATTGACAATTGGAGACATAAAAAAGAAAGGCAGGGGACATAGAGAGGGGATGACACTGGCCTTGGGCTGCTGGAATAAGTACACAGCGTAATACATGGGCGCACATTCGACTAGGCGAGCCACCAGGGTGCCCTGAGATCACTGACATTTCTAAGCTCTTTTGACTAAACTGTTCTTTATTGTTTTACTTTTTAAGTGCCGACTAACAGAGAGCCAAAGTCAAATTGTAACAAGTCTCATAAAAATCCCACTGACATTTGAAACAACACTAATAAAAACTAATAATCCATCTTTTTTCTAATTACTTATAATGATCGTAAGCTGTTTGGAAGAAAGTCGGATGATAGAAATGCTCAATAGGACAAGACTGAGTTACAGGGCTGAAACAGAGGCCTGGGGATGACGTCGTGACTTTTTCTCTCTATGACACTCTGGCATTTAAAGAGGTGGACAAACTCTTAACTGTGTGCAACACTGAGGGAATTGCACATATATAGTGAACACTTTAAACGCAATGCACCCTGTTCTCTAAACACTGTTTGACAGCCAAAATGATTAATATATCTGTATATACTTGTATTTTCACTGTCTGAGCTTCAAGTGCAACAGTCAACTTACAGAGTCACTCTTTTCTCTCTCCACTTTACTATGTTATTGTCTAATTGTGTGGTTAAATGTTTATTTTAACCATAATACTGGATCAAAACTTACATGAACCCATGTACATTTTCTTGTGTTCTTTGTGCATCAATGGACTTTATGGGACTGCAGGCTTTTACCCCAAATTTGTTTTTGATCTCCTGTCTGATATTTATGTCATATCATATGTGGGATGCCTTCTGCAAGTCTATGTTATATACTCATATGCAACAATTGATTTCTCTATTCTAGCTCTGATGGCGTATGACAGATATGTGGCTATATGTCGACCCCTGGAGTATCACTCTGTGATGTCTGTGCAAAGGATTGCTGTGTTAATCAGTTTGGCTTGGCTTGTTCCTCTGTGGTGTGAGGTTTTAGTTATAACTTTGACATCTAAATTAAAATTATGTGGCTCCCACATACAGAAACTGTATTGTGAGAACTGGTCAATTGTTAAACTTGCTTGTAGTTTGACAAAAGCAAACGACATTGTTGGACTGATTATTATTTCCTTCTACTGTGCTCATGTTGTCTTCATTGTATATTCTTATGTGCGGCTTATAAAGTCAGCTTTAAAGTCAAAAGAAGGTAGGAAAAAGTTTACACAGACATGTGTACCACATTTATTAT